AGTAATTTACCCATCATGGACGCATTTATGACTAAAGCAATGAGTGCATCGATTAACATACGACACAACAAAAATAAACGTGATTTAACTGTTGTTCAATTGTCGTATTTTATTAACCGATAACCTCTTTTATATTATATTCAAACGTATCGTAACTTAATAAAAACAAAATAATTCAAGTTTTTACTTATTCTACAATATTCCAATTAACTTTCATACGAATTAATTAGCTAACTTAAGTCTATTTACTTAATAATTTAGACACGAGAAATAACAACTAATACTAACATATAGTTAAAATAACTCGCTTCACTTTCTACCAATCTCTGACAAGTTAAGTTTTCTTCTAAATCTCTAATATGAATAAATTAAAAACCTGATCACAGGATTTACTTGGCGATTGCGACAATTTAAGATAAGTAGCTGATCTAACGTTATTTAAATAAAAGGCAAGCAAGCTTGAAACATTAACCGCTTATTTCCACTACCTAAATCATATTTTTATCCCTTATTGTTCAAATATAATAAAAAGGATGGCACAATATAAGTGTTCCCCAGTAAAAAAACAGTAACATTTCTAGATAATGTTCTTATTAAAAGGGTAATTATAAAAGAAATTGTTTTTGTATTTCTACATTACTATAAATGTATAATTGAACTAATATAATAAAAGCGATTGGATGGATGTTTGAAGGTATCTCCTGAATAGTAGCATGGATCTCGCTGAACAACATAGAAGAAAGAACATAGCTCGGAAGAGCCCATAGGGTACAAATTAAGTTTTTTAATTACACGCGAACGGAGTCGCGGGCGACAGCTAATTGTAAATAATGTCGACGAGTCGAATAGAATGTCGTGAAAGCCAATAGTGAGCATAGTTGCGTTCAGACCGCAAATAGGTTAACTCTATTCGGTCTTATTAAACAGGTTGATTAGACGGAACTGCGAGCACCAGTTCGTTACACAACAAATGTATACTCCACTCCGCACACGACAAACGTGATTCATACATGTTTATTAAGTTTATTTTATAGCGTATACAATTATTTCATAATATTTATTTGTTTTTTTTTATAAAGATAAAACAAGACGGGGGATTTTTTTTTATAATATACATCATGATTTTTTTATAATTAATCGGAGTCTGAATGCTATTTTAAAAACAATTATAGATGTTATTTACTTCAAAGAGTTTTCGCTAATATGCCGACTTATTAATAAAAGATTAAGTAATATTATCTGCTATAGTATCATCCAAACTTTATAGCTGCTTGGAATATACTCATGTTCACACTTATCCACACTTACAGTAGACATAAACCACCCAAGCCGCTACTAAGTTTGAATGTTATAATAAGTACAAGTGTGAAGTTTTAGCACTACTAACATAGTATATTTAGTTCTTAGTTTACAACATAAAGCTAGATTATTTTAGTTAACGATTAGAATGCAAGTTGTATAAGTGCCTGGCGCGGTGAGGTACGATTTAAGATCGACCGACGTCGAGTTCCTTCACACGAATACAGCGATAATAAAACCTGTTCTTAGCAACAGATAAGCAAGATATTCGCAAATGTAACAAACCGTATTTCACGAAAGTATTCCGTCATTTTATATTCATGTGTTCTAAAGTAAGTCTACCAAAAATAACATTAATTGTTATTGCAACACCTGTCCCCATTTTTAATAAGCAGATGGTTTCTAACAAGTTCTTTTTAATAGTTAATACTAGTAAGTACTATTGTATGAACATAACCACATACCTACTAGGTATAGGTACAGGTACAGTCGCGGAAATCAGCGGTGTTTAATTTACAGTACACATGCATTGTTTCTTATAACCGGATAAAATCCACCTCTTCTTACAAATAACCAATTAATAAAAAAAGCAATTAAAGATATTTAAAATCTGCGTCCTGTTGGTTTTTGTCCCAACGTCGTCTCAATGTGTACAACACGTTCAAAGGAATGTAGCTTTTAGGCTAGAACACCACCAGATTCCCCGATTGTACATACTTACATGTCCAATAATCTTTAAATAGTAGCAATTTTAATAGTAAATAGAAAACCATAAAAACTGTAGTAAGTCCTACGTAAACAACGAACTATTACATCATTAATGGGTATTTAAAATAATGAAAGGCAAAAATTATTGGTATTTAGTGTTTCACACTCTAAAAATAATTCGCTAATGTGTTCCAATATCGAATTGAATCTAACAGAGCGGTTTTATGTTTTATATCATAAGAATATAACGTAAATAATATCCGACAGTAATTTACGGGCCGATGGGTAAAGTGTACACAAGTCGCTATGCGTCGTCCGTAACTCTGTATGTCAGGTTGACCTCACTCAAGGACTCTTGGCAACGTTTGAACAATAAAACATGAGAAATTGTAGTTTTTACATTCTTTGTATAACCTGCGTAAAGATAAACCAATATTTAATATGTAGCTACTTCTGTATTCACATTATTTCAATGTACTTGGATAAAAACATATTTTTTGTGTGATACCAATGACATCATTATTGTGGGTTGTATTAAAATATTGTTGTTTCATTTTTTTTTAAAGAGAATAAGGGGATTACTAATAATTTTATATGAGTATTTGATATAATATTTGCCTCTTAATATTATTTCATAAAGCATGATAATTTTTCTATGTATAATAAAAATCAAAGTATGACATCATAAGGAAATCCGACTCATTTATAATTTAAATAATATGTTGAACACTCATGTCTGGACTTACACAATCTATTTGTGCACCTAACCTCAAAAATAAATAATTGTCTATACTTTCAAATATTTGTTGTCTGTCCGATAACCTATTACGGGAAAACAAGACATTGTTATCAATAGCATGACTGTTATTTTAAAGTATTGTCATTAGACAAAGGTATTTTGAACTTTGACACTACTGTGAACTCTAATTGCCTAAACACTGGAAGAAAAAAGTATTGTCGTCTCAATTGTTTCAGTGAGAACAAGAGAGACGTCAATATATTTTTGTATCGTCAGTCTTGACTTATGTTACAAAGACATTCGTTCAAATTATCACAGCTGTTTTTAGATGAAGAGTTCGGCTTCGAATTGTCAGACTATCTAAACGAGTCTGGTATTGAGGGCGATGCTAATAGCTTTCGGTTCGATAAACTCCTACGCATCCGCATAAGGATTGAACAGAACCATTACTGCTTCAGTATTACTCATATCTACCATAAGGCAATCGCCTACCACTTCTGACGTTAACGACACACATTAAGATTCCATTTATTGGTTACTATTTCTAAGTAGATTTTAATAGTTCACTTGTCTTGAACACAGGAGAGGCTTGTTCGTTTGGTATGTTACTTAAAAACAATTGAAGGTTAAACATTCGAAAACGAAAGATATTAGATTAGCCAAGCAAGACATTGAGCCAAAATAATCTGTGATCACGGCATGCAATTTACTATGGCGAATTAAAGTTATGTAACATTGTCTATACGCATTTCTTCATTTTTGCTTACCACTTTAAAGTATTGTACAATTTTATGAGAAAAAATAGGATCGGTCATTAACGTTATAGATTTTGTAGTTCTTAATCTTATAAATTTTTCGTAATATCTTTTCTTTTGAAATTTTTGTTTACATAGATAAAAAAATGATTGAGTATGCCGTCTTGCAACCCAGAGACAACAGACGACGTATAAATTTTTATATAATTACGTTAAAAATTTCGAAGTATTTATCTAAAAGAAAAAAAATCATTCGTAACGTTGACCATGAACTTGGCACGCAGCGATGTCTATTTTTGACGTTTGTTATTAAACAAAACAAATTATTTGGCATTTGTTACTTCACAGATAATAAAATCATTGGAGACAATGTACCTAAATCTTTTGTATGTCAGATGACGCCACCTCGCATTTACCGTATAGTACAAAGCCTTACGTAATCAAAATCGTTTACATGAAGAGTTTAGGGGCGTCCGTAATCAAGTAGTTTAGCGACGCCGACGCCTGTACTCTGATATTATTAACGAATTAGGAACAACGAAGCTTAAATACCATGAGCTTGATTTGTTCACTCAGACCTTCCTAACTAATTGGAATAAAAGACATGAGAGGAAGGAAATTGCCATAAAGTTATCAATTACTTCATCTGTAAAATTATTTTTAATAATATATCTTGTAAAAAACCGAATTAGATATTTTTTGTGTTGAAAAAACTACTAATTATAATTAAACGATTGACTAAACACAGCAATGACACTCGTTAAATAGGTATTGCGACTAATACACGATAAAATAACAATAAAAGCCAACGAACACAATAATTACACTTCTTGATAAATGACATCATTCGTTTTAATGTATTTTCGCCTTTAAAAGTTGTTTAAAAAACATAAATATGTTATATTATAAAAAAATGTTATCAGAGTATTAAACTGTATCAATATATGTTCCTTATATCAGTTTTCAGTAACCGCTCCTCATGAATCTTATCTTTAAAAAATTTCATATCTGCATAAAAGATAAGTTAAAAATATCACGATAATTCGTTTATTGTTTTCACGTTTTTCAAAGTTTCGGCTTTCCTCAAATTTTTAATAAAACTGTAATGTTTTAAAATATATTACGAAGCTACTATATTTAGGCATATTCTGTAGCATAAAATAGTAATGAATAATGACCATTCATCAATTTTAAATTTACCAGAATGACCTGCGGTAAACACAATAGAGACTCGTTTAGCTATGACGAGCTACGTTCATAAATTACTCAATGCAATGTACTGAAAATACCAATTATATTCTACTGTATTGACTTTTTGATGTTAACATGGAAGTTGTGTACTACATTTTGGGTAAAAATCTTTACTAAGAACACTTCTGTTTAAAGGATTACATTTATCTACATCCTTTTAGGTGTGATATTTAGCAACGATATTAATTATGATGTTTTATTTATTTACTCTATAAACTAATGGTAAAAATAAGTATTAGTGTACTCACCCACAAGTACAGATTTCGCAGATGCACTGCTCCTTAATAACAGGTTTCTCTGGTTTCTTAGGGCCGCCGTGTTTGGGCCTAGTTTCGTCAATGTAGACGGTCTTCTCGACAACAGTCCTGTCGTCGCGCACCGTTTTCCTATCATCAATGATGGTCTCATCGTAAACGGTGGTGACGATGTCCTGTCTCGTGGTGTCGGTGATCGCATGATCTACGACGTCGTACTCCCGTACGTCTCGAACTGTGCGGACATCCTTCTAAAAAGTATTTAAAACATAAGTAATATGAACTTGCATAGATAGCATTTAAAACTTTGATAAAGTTAATCAAAATACCACTTACCAAGTTTTTGATGTCTAACTCGCTATTGTCTACAAAAACATCGGTTTTAACTTTTTCGTCCTCTTTAGCATCTTCATAAGTCGTTACTTTCCTTGTAACACCATTTTCGGTTATATAACGCGTTACTTCTACTTGACTTCTAGTTTTATCAATTTCGTATGATTTTTTAATTAAGTCAGCGTTGGTTGTCTTTATTACATTTATTTGCTCCGTGTCTACACCTTCGTAAAGATCTTTAACGTCTTCGTTTATTTTTGTACCAAAAGTCACTTTGTCGATTCTCTTGAAAGGATACTTCTTCACGGTTTCGATAATGTCTTTCAATACCCTATCGTCAATATTTCTTCTAATCACAATATTTTTGTTGCTCACTGTAACATCTTTGTTCGAAGATGACGTCTCGATAATTTTCCGCAAGTCACTTATAGATGTAAAGTCTTTAATATCTTTTGATGTCAATATTATATTGTCGTGTGTGTCTTGTCGCTTCAGATGATGACGTGGTTGCTCCGGCTTACCAAAAGGCGACATATCTTTAGGGCGTTTAGGTCTGTCATCATCTGTCTCGTAGACAAACTTTCCATTCCATGTTCCTGTACTTCTCTCATAGGTGGTGAGAGTGTCTTTAGTCTCTGAAGTGGATTTTGAAGTACTTTCCTTACTAAGGTTTTGCTGTTCTTTTGTGATAAACTCCGTCGTTTTGGTTACATCTTTAACATCACGTTTGTCACTTCTTCTGTCCGTTGATGTTGTTTTATGCGTATCAGAATACACAGTGTTGTCCGTTGGCTCCCTTATGATTCTACCTCGCTCATCAACTCCACTTGTAGGCGGTTCTGTAATCGCAGGTTTCTTTGTGAAATCTCCAGAATATACATTTCTTGTGGAAGCAATTTCTTTGCCATCTCTATACAAAGCAGATTCTTCTGCAACATGGGTTGCACTTTTGGGTATACCATCTTTGCCGGTGTCATAATAAGATTCTTTATCTAACACATGTCTAGTATATTCATGTTCCGGCTTTATCCCAGGACCACTGACGTGATGACTTTTTTCATGGGTTGAAAGTTCCTTACTGTCTCCCCATTCCCTGTGAGAGCTATCGACAATTCTTTGCTTGCCATCGACTACTTCTAACACATACGATGATGTCGACGCCTCTTGAGCACTACTGGTGTTACTTTTTAGTATTTTCGTTGAAAAGTTTATACTATCCGTATCTCGTACATCTAAAATATCTCCTACTTTTCTGAGTTCATTTTGGATTGTTGTATCATAGCCATAGAAGTTTGAGGAATCTGTCCTGGTGTTTTGATTGCGTCTTTGTAAACTGGTAGTTTCATTAGTAGATGTACTGCTTTCAACGACATTTGTGTTGCTTTGCACAGTGTTGGATACGTCAGACGTCGTGGTAGTGTGGTGCACATTGTCACGGGTTGACATCTGGTCTTGCGTTGATTTAATATGTTGAAGATTGTCATGCTGACGTGACGTTATGTTAGAGTGCTGCACATTATCACGTGTCGACATCTGGTCTTGTGTTGATTTAATCTGTCGAAGATTGTCCTGCTGAAGTGACGTCATGTTAGTGTGCTGCACATTGTCACGCGTCAACATCTGGTCTTGAGTTGACTTAATCTGTTTGAGATTGTCCTTATGTGAAATAACATTCTGGTGTGAAGAGATTTGAGCTCCATCTTTGACGAGTTTAGAGTCCTCTCTAATAGTCATTTCACTTTTAGGTTGATCACCGTCTTTTCCAGTGTCATATTTAGATTTCATATCATAGTTTTGTTGGCTGTGAACGGATTGAGGAGTAACATTGGTGCCACTTACACTTGCATAAGCTTCTTTCGATGAGTGCTCTTTAGCATCGCCCCACTCCCTTTTCGAACTGTCAATAATCCGTTCTTTTCCGTCAACAATTTCAACGACGTACGAGGAAGAAGACGATTTAGTAACACTGCTACTTGTATTTTCACTTCTCTGATTCGTCGAACTGAATTCGGTCGTTTTATTATTCCGATCTAAGGTTCCTTCTACTTCGTAAAAGTTTCTCGAATCCGATTTAACGGTCTGACTTCTCTTCGAGCCAGCAGGGGAATGATAAGTGTCCTTCTCGCGTTGGTTAACAAATTTCTTATCAGTTATTTTTGAGAAATTATTTTTCATATCTCGACGAGATATAAACGATTGTTGTGTAGATTGTGTGTTGGTTGCATTTTCGCGTTCCGATTGGAGCAACGAATTAGTTGCATTTGCGCCCTGAGGTCTTCTGGTGTAGGTGTTGGATCCTGTAGCATCGTACGTAGTACTGTCAATAAAAGCAGTGTTCAGGGTCTGATTCTCAGCAGAGGAGTCCACAGTTCTATCAAATGTCTGACTATGACTCGAATTAGAATGTTGTACTGAAGTAGATGAAGATTGAACTATCTCACTCTTTGAGCTCTGCTGGTGCACTGAGGAGGACTCTTGCAGCACGGAATTAGAAACGAACTCACCGGTGGTGGACTGAGCCATGTCACTTATGTTATGCTCGTGGGATCTTATCTGAGATAAATCAGACACCGAGGGCGCTTCCGTTATGATATAATGCGGATGGCTGTTGTAGTGCTCAGATATTGTGGAGCCGGTTATAGAAGCATGATCGGTTACATCGGTAATCATAAGCGGGTCGTCCTCCTCGACCTTTACATCGATGTAGCGAATCTTTTTACCTGTCGAGCTGACCTTCTGAAGCGTGTTGCTGCTCTTCTGCACAGTGGACGTGCTACTCTTTTGGACACTGCTCGAAGCACTGCTCGATGAGGTCACTTCGGACGCTTTTGATTGTTTAGTCTTTTTATTCTTTATAGTCATTTTGTTTAGCACTGTATCGCACGGTTAAAAACTATAATAAAACTCTTCTTAAAATACGAGATTCTTAAAATTGTAACGATTAAATATTTTAAATTAAAAAATAAACTTTATCACATAATATTAACGCTTTGCCATGTAATGTATACCGTCGCGAGAGTCGTTCGTGTCGGGGTAATGCGCGCGCGCCGCTCGCGAGTGTGTCGCGCAGTCTGTGCTAAAGCGATGGCTGCGGTCTGTGGCTGCTGCGCTCGCGTCGCGGCGCGGAGAAGGCGCCCGTCTCCCCCGTTCCCGCCACCCCTTGCCCCCATCGCACCTTGACGTGTGTCGCGTCGCCCACCGGACCTTGCGACACGTAAGCGCTTACATCTCGTAAGCGCTGACTCGCTGTCAAGTCGAACTCATACCAAAAATGGCACATTCTGCCTTACCCCTTAATTGGCTGAAACTTTAGTGACACGTTACGTATCTACCTACTTAAATCTTTACATAATTAAATAAATATTAATTGTCAGGTAAAGATTTTATTCATTTATTTGGCTTTACTAAGCCTTAATCGAGAAAACTAAAACGGGAAAGGATGTCTAATTGATTTATCAAGCCATTTTTATATTCAACTATCGGTTGCCCGCGACTATACTTGCATCAGCTACCTTCCCGTCATAGTACTGTCAAAATCAGTCCAACTGTTCCGGAGATTACCAGAAACGCGTTGCCAACAGACACAAAAAATTTAAAAATTGTGGTTTTGTTAACAATGCAAATACATCATATTGTAGGATTTTTTTTCAATATTACATAGAGACACTGGAAGTTTATTAATATGTCTGCATCATTTTGTAAATTTACGTACCGACAATTCTCAATGCAGTACGAGGAAAGTCTATGATAAATAAACAGATGCGGAAAAAAAGAAAAAACTACCTACCCTTCTGAATTGTATTTATAAGATTTATAAACCGGTACGGTAAATACATGCATATAATATATGCATGTATTTACCGAGTAAAGTCGTTAATGTACAAAATGCTTAGTATTTGTGTCTGCAACTGTGAACTACATACAGCGGTGAGGTAATGACACAATATATCATGCAATTTACATTTAAATTTGGCTGAGCTCGCTTAAGCCTTTCCATGTAACGAGATTCGTTAATTCAATTTATTCGATTTAAATATGACCTCTTTTTTAATACCTCCTTTCTTATGGGGTCAAGTACGCGTGAATCGACGATTACACTTTCGTTTGTTTCTACTTCGCAAAAAGCGTCACCAATTACAAAGATCTTTATGATGATGAATATGCTATGAACCGATGGTAATACTGAAGGTTACAAATGAATAAAGGACTCACCTGATGGCTATCCAGGACACCGTAACAATTAGGGCAGACAGAGAAAAAAAAAGCTTTCTTAATAAATAATGTCACCCCTACCTAGGATTGTCATCTTTTCTACAAAAAAAAATGTCGCCCACTTTATCTTCAATCTCATGAGTTTTCTTGGCCCTGTGATTTCGTCATCCCTTAGTTTTGGAACTTGTTTCATCACCATCCACAGCCGTGACAAGAAGGTGATGCATATAGCAATGGGCGGAAAATATGTATTATAGAAAAATAGAAATACCGATCAGAAAGGTTATTAATAACTATGACTGAAATAATACGTCATCGTTTTTACCGAAAAGTTCCTACGTTTTGTCTGTTAGTCAAAGCTATATTAGGAAGGTAAACATAAAAATATAGAGTAGATTTCATAAAGTATAGACAGGATAATATATAATATAGTAAGCTAGTTTTAAGTAAGTACGTAATCATTTAATCGACTTCGTAACACAATTATTTTTATCTTACGACCTCATGAAAAACTTTCGAATTTTTAAATTCGAACGTAATATTCGATTTTTAAAAACAATGCAAAGATTATACAACGACCGGTACATTCACAGGTATTAACCAAAGCCAGACGTGGGCTGTACAAGGCCCGACTTTTGTTGCCTTTAAAAGGCTATGGTGGGCGAGTCGGTTTTGAATCATGCGCCCACCGCCTGCCTGCATGCAACAGCCGCAAATAAGTACATTAATCACTATTTTATATTCCCTATTTCACAAATCAATGAAATCTCGAAAGTAATATTACTTCGAAATATTCGTAATACTATTCCAATGTATCAGACATAGGATTAAGATGGCTGTAATATATACGCACAACTTTGCGGTTACTGTGTTGAACAAATAAAACATGTTATTTAATAAAAATAAAAAATAACGCACCAACTTTATTTACTATTCACTTTTATTCTAAATTCGATGCAATAACTAACACACAGATTTCAATGAAAAATAATAAGAAAAGGTGCTGAAACTGTAGTGTCTTACAGGTCCAAAGGTTAGCCTAAGTGACATTAGGGTTTTGTAAACGTCCAAGAAATAATACATGTTTGTGGCGACCGTTGAAAGTTATATTTGTGGATTTTTTGCCAAAACATTTGTTTTTTCTTCATAGAAATGACGGTTTTCAGACTTCATTTTACCAATATTTTAAAATAATTAAACAGAAGGCTTGGAATGGTGCCAATAAAGACAGCCTCTTTAGCTCAGTGGTAGAGCACTGGTCTCGTAAACCAGGGGTCGTGAGTTCAATCCTCACAGGAGGCAACAATACACAAGTACACATTTTATTTTAAAGTCGGTTTCTTGCTTAGTAATTTAAAACATATTAAATTCATCCTACACAAAGAGGGTGGATATTTAAATTCTGAACAAATTAAACTTATTATAGAAATAAAATAGCTTATATGGTCCAAAATTGTTAATTTCTTTCCCTTTCTGTCATCGTTTTATATCTGTCGTCCCTGTTGTAACTTTATCCACTGTGCTATTGAAACCGATGATAATGTAACCGTAGGTTTCCACTACCGAATGCCAATCTTCTTTTTGTTCGGGTGTTTCAATAGTTAAACCCCATAGTTATGCCGTTATGTCTTAATTTATTTTGGAATCAAACTTGTATTTGGCTTTGGTAAATAATTTTATTATTTTAACGCCCTCTATATCATCACCATATAAACTAAACGAATTCAGAGCAAGGTCTTGCCGCAACGGCTTTCATGAAAAATAAACATGTTTGCCCATCGCTAGATGTCACTTTATCACAAGAATGTCTCAAAAACAACACAAGAGGGCACCTGAATCTGATAGTCGATAAATGGCCGCCTGCGTCACGACGCTGCGCAATCAAGCACGGAAATAACTAACAGCTGTTCTACAATATTCGTTCGGGCAACTCAGGTAGCAGCTGTACACGGACGGACGAACACTCAGCCGTTTTCCTTGGAACTACGATTGTTTGGACATTGGATAGTGGCTTTCTCATTGTTTAATCTTTCGCCGTGCAGCACGAACGTTCCATTTTTCGGTTTATTACTATCAGCGTGTGCTTTTAGTATTGGCTTCGAAAGTGTGTGAATCATTACAATTCGTGTGTTTCTTGGCGATATGTTTACCAAAATTCGTTCATTGTTGTTGTGACTCAAATCAAGTTGAAATGCCTCGCGAATACGTGGACCGCGAGGAGAGCTCTACAGTGTTATGTCAATAGAATCTCTAGTAGATAGTAATTTTAATTTTTATAACCGTAAAAGTAATTTTAAAAATGTCTAGCACAGTTCCAAGCAGTTCTGCCTTAAGGGCTTTAGCTTTAGAATATAAAAGCCTGCAGGAAGAACCAGTGGAAGGTTTTAGAGTGAAACTGTTAGGGGAGGACAATTTATTTGAATGGGAAGTTGCAATTTTTGGTCCACCCGATACATTATATCAAGGCGGATATTTCAAGGTAAGAGATGACATTTGTTATTTTGTTTGCCATCGTGTTGAAATCGTACTGATCCTTTCAATGTGTGCAAATAATTGTGATATCAGAAATACAATTATATTATCATAGTTATACATAATTATATCTTTTGTTACCTAATTCAATTGTCAAGTATTTGTTCAGTTTACAATTTGAAATACACTGATATCATTCTGGTTAATTGCATCTATTGATAGCAGCCTGTTCACAGATCTTTTTCACACATTTGAACCATGAGCTGAACTGCAGGTCATCAATTGTACCTATCTCTAGTACTGACCAAAAACAATCATGCATCTAAATTATTAGATACATTAGCCTTTGCAAATTGTAGTAATATAGTTGGGGCTATTGAATATTTTTCTTTGAATTGTCAATGAGTTATTTTGCATGAGGGCAGGATCAATCGTATTACCAGCCAGCTGACAACTCGAGCAACCTAAATTAACCTGGTAACCTAAAATAATTAATACAATTTTTTTCTATCAAATGTTTATAGAATTAAAAGTCATTGAATATTTAGCAATGCAGGTGCTTTATGAATGTTGTTACATCATATTTGGCAGTAACATCAACATGGCATTGTTTGAAATTGTTATGTTAAAACAAACTGATATGGTTTTCAATTGATTACTCACTAAGAGTAGGAAAATTTTAATACAAATATTATTTCATTTTAATGCAGCAATAAAAAAACAGAAACATCTATTTTTATTCAAACTGATATTGACATATTCATAATGATATCATGGAATGAATTTACTTGTACTGATTTTTCTTCTAGACAGTGTCTTACTGCTTTACTCAGTCATAATAGAGTTTACTAACTTGTGTCAGAGTAAACACACTTTACACTCTTACCACTTGACAGTTATGTGGTTGGTTAAAGTATATTAATTATCTCATCTTCTACTAGCTATAGCTGAGAATGCGCATCTGTGTGGAATTAATAAAAACCTTGATTAAAAGCCTATGTGTTCTTCCAGACTATGTTCTACATCTATGCCAAAGTTCATCAAGATCCCTTGAACTGTTTTGGAGACACCTTCTAACTTCCATCCAAACATTCCTATTTATAATATTAGTAAGATTATTTTATTTTTATTAAATGTAATTTCAATTGTTACAGGCACATATGAAGTTTCCGCCAGACTATCCTTACTCTCCACCATCTATTAGATTTCTTACAAAAGTATGGCATCCAAATGTTTACGAGGTAAGTGTTAAATTATAAATATTAATGTTTGGAATTTTCTAATCATGCATGTTATATAAATAACAGTCAAATTAAATATTTTTCAAATCAAATAAAATTTTATATTAAACACAACACACTAATTTGATGGTAAGTCTCCGCTGTTGTTACATTTGTTGTACGAAAATATTGCTATCCCTTCCATTATCTTTGACTGAAACAGAGATAGCAAAAATAAGTAATCAGTGGTAGACGCAAGAAACATGTTGTGCATAAAGGATACTTTTTGGCCCGTGCAGTACCATGACCACACAGAAGACAAGGGTGATGTTAAAGTAATGCCGAGCTTCATCTGAAGAGTGTAAATATTGGAGGCCTTATTTAAGTTCTCTTTCTCTTCTCAACACGTTTCTTATAAGGGAAAGATGGGAAGTGTATTTGATAGAGCATGTGATGCATAGGAAGGGAAATATTATCTTTCTGTGCATCTCTTTTGTTGATCAAAGATAGGCAACACATCTGCAATTGCGGGTGTCTATTAGCAACGGTCGGTTCTCTATTTCGTCGAATTTATTTGCTCGTTTTCCACCTTATATAAAAAGTGTTTAACAAATTTAACAATAAATTAAATTCATGGGAAATTATCATTTCAAATCAAACCTGGAGTGAAACTTGGAAGAGTTATTACTTAAATATTTAATCCTAATAATTAGTAATTTCAATCACATTCCCTTCCTTACAAATACAAAAGTCAACAGAACATAGGCCCAAAAAGTCTCAGAAAAACATAACAATGGTGATTGTTAGACTGGAACCCTGAATATTTTTTTGCAACATACTTAGTGTGCAGGTAGGCGGTTTTGTAACGTTTTTAACACTGCGTTCGATAGAAACTGATGAAATTATTAACGTAAATTTTTACTGCCCAAAACTTGTATCAAAGATAATGAGCAGTATCACAATGTAATTTCTTATACGTGTATCGGTAGTGCAAACCGACGGTTAAAATCACAGTAATTCTCTTTTTATTTGATACAGTTTTTAACATGAATTTAAAAACTTATTACAAAGTTTAAAAAGAAAGATCAAATTTAATTCACATTCGTATCTTCTTGATGAATAATAAAACTAGCTGACTACAAATCTTCATAGGAAAGGTCGCAATAAAAAACGGAAACAGCTGCCCGACCTTCTGCTCCGATTGTTTATGTTCATTATTGAACCCTGAATACTAAGGCCTAGTTATGCAATACAATATACAGCAAGTATATTGTACAAAATATTGTATACACACAATATAAGTGAGCAACTTTGTACTTCTCATTTGTTGTTTGAGTCAAAATAGCAATACAAAGGACCGCCACGTAACAATTAACTCTTAAGCAGCATCTGTCTTTTTAATTAAAATTAACCTTTCGATAACGATGTCTTTACAAGAGTAGAAGGCAACTACCACAAATGTAACAAAAATCTGATGATCATTCCTACAATTGACAGAAGATACCTTGATCTGGAGGACTTAAACCTGACGCTATGAATCTACTTGAAGATAAGGACAGGGAGATGATGATGAATTTAAAATCGAAGAAACGCTTCTGAAACGAAACAAATAAGTTAGCAATGATAATCATAAAGTCATTATCAGTTTTTATATAATATAATCTGCAGACTCTATTTCCTAGCACATGTGAACTCTGACTGTGACAAATTGTGTTGGATGTGAAGACGACAAAAAAGCAACTTATCTTAGCTGATTCACTCGCGTATCCTTCCCGCATCAGTTGTACAGTTACGTGAGAAAGGAAAACAGGGTTTGGATATATATATACTGATTTTTTATTCTAATAAGTCGATGTCTGAATTAAATGTAAAAAAGAATATAAAAACCAAGTTCCCCTCATTCTTAGTCCTGGCTGATCTTTTGCACCACAATTCAGTTAATAAAAATCTAAATGTTTTTATGTTGAAACGGTATGTTTACTTTTGTGGCATATTACTGGTCTCATCTTGACCATCCCACACCGTGCAATTGCAAAAAAAAACGATCGAGTCGATACAAGCACAGTTTTAGTGACGTTCGTACGTTTACCGTTAGCTTTCGTGAGACGAGCAAGCAACAACGGAATAAAGTTGTGGCGAAACATTAGGGTCATCAAACTAACAATGATTCACACAGCGACACATCTCGCCGAATATTTCTCTAGAATCTACTACCACAACAAGCGATTTGAAGCCGTAAACTGTAAATGTTAAGAGCGAAAGCGGGGCAAATATTTTAAATGATGCGCAATTAGTACTAGGTGATTTAATTAGTCTGTTTTGCTAACAAGGAAACTCGTGTACGATGAACTGTTGTATCGTCTATATATATTTTGATTGATTCTTACATATTAAATAAGATTACAGGATGAGCCTCAGAATTTGCAAAATCTTAAGCAATATTACCTACATCTCCAAAGACTATTTATGACTTTAAGAAGGCAAAGATTATTTCAATGGTCATATTTGTCAACACCAACAACACCAAAACTCACCCAAAGCACTAGGGTTCCCTAATATTAGGGTTCGTTAATTATACGGGCAACACTGAGCTGTCAGGGAGAGGGCGGAAAATTTATCGAGAGCTGGGAGGTGGAAGGAGGTCGGTTGGACATTAGGTATCGAGCTGTTGAAGTAGAAGGTTATGGCAAAGAGAAAATAAATTAGTGAATATAATATCTGGTTTTGCTTCAGTTATACATCCTGAAACCTAGATATAGTTCCTTATATCTGTGCGTCTTAAACTAGGCAGAGACCACGGACCTCCAATTGGCGCGGTCCTGCCACTCCTCTTTCGGTTCTACTACGCATGCCTTAACATACTCGCCAGTTTCAGGTGCTTACAATAATTTATTTTAAATTTAATTTCATTTTAATTTTCTCGAGTATTTCATCTGAACGGTAAAAGTCCACCTTAGTGTCTCAATTTATAAAGCCGAGCGACGGGCCGCGTCCGCGAAATAATACCAGTACCACTCATCCTGATGAAGGGCCCCCTATGGGCTCGAAACTAGTCGGTGCCGCCACCGGACGTATATACGTGAGTGTTTAGCCGTGTTTATATATCAGTTTAGTATTTAGTACATTTGAATGAACAAAAACGTGATTGTAAATCTTGGTGTTGTTGACAAGAATTCACTGTGATATTGGAAGGTATACTTGTGATTTATCTAATGCTCAGTTATTTCTATTGTTTCTTGTTTACATCTAATGGCGGCAATGAAGCTAAACAATTTACTTTCATGCCGTCACCACTGATTATTATATTAAATGCAACAATATGCAATCTCGTATAGAAATTTCTAGAATCATTGTCCGTATCTGTGACTTCTAATTGTGACCTCGCTTACGATTGCACAGTTCATTGTCAGTACGGTAAAAGTGGAATTTAAAAATCTTTTTCAGAAGCCTTCGTATAAAATAAATATAACAATTTGGGGCTAATTAATGTATTTGCCTGTGGCCTCATAAGCTCATTGAAAATGAGACATTTGCCTTATTATATCTAATAGCTTAGTTTTAGATAATCGATAAGTCACGGATTGTAAATTTTTCTGGGATAAATAATTACGCCTTTACACTATTTGAGACTGTACGTTATTTTATTTATGTTTAAAATTTCATCTACAATAGTTGCGTATTTGCATACCTTGGAAGGATGCTCCGTCCAAAAAAATTAATTGACTTAAAAACTATAGCCAGAAAATATAGCATTCTGGAACAGAACATTTTATACAAAGCTTTGTTTTAGGAAGAAAAGTTTGTAAACATTTTTGGTTGAGGGGATAAAAGATAAAATGTTGTTACTATTCGTGGATAATCTAAGGCACAAACAACTAGCTAACATTTATACAAAGTAAAGAATTCCTTGTAATATTTAATATTAATTAGTTGTAAGTTACGGTATAGCGTACATTCTAGGAAAGTCGATTGGTCGTGAGGACATGTGAGGCAGTTGAACGACCGCTCACCGCTGTCACTGTCCACTAAACTATGATTCACTTAACAATCAATTAACTAAATTGAATACAAATTATAACAATTTAAACTATGTTAATGTATTCAAATCATAGATAATCATATGCAGCTTTCTGTTAAGTGGAGTAGGTGAATCGAGCACAATACAAAAGACATTAGTATTAGCAATCAAGTCAGAATATAATGCCAAATTACATGTAATCGGTCTAGTTTAGTGACTGTCATAAGTAGAACGATTCTAAACAAACATTGGTTACCAGAGGTATTTCTAAAAAATGTTATAAATTGTATTTACACGGCTAAAAACAGCCAAAGCGGCAATAAAATAGACATCGTCATACTTTGAAATTGATAATTGATTTGTGGTGATAGTAGGTAGTCGCTTATCAAACTACGGCCATTTTGCGGTGACATACTATTTGTAGTACAGTTTCATATTGAGTTTATTATAGTTGTGCGAAAGTTTACGTAGGTTACCAGGTTAGTGAAAACTATGTTTAAAATAAAATGTTCGTGTGCATGTTAGGTACGCTATAAATATATACTAATATTATAAAGCGGAGGGGTTTGTTTATTTAAACGCGCTTATCTCAGGAACTTATGGTCCGATTTGAAAATTTAATTTTTTTTTGGATAGTCTATAGAGGAAGGCTTTAGGCTATATAACATTACGCTGCGACCAATAGTTTTAATTCAGCGCGGACGGAGTCGCGGGCGACAACTATCGTAAGTTAAAGTTGGTAATATTGTTGCTGAATAAAGAAAAGTATGGGAGGTATAGTGGATTTGTTAGGGGTGTAGATGGATCCTTTTTCTGTTAGTCTTTCCTTCTGTCTATTAAACCACTTGCACCTTTTTTCTTGTTGTAGATGCCACTGGGCATCATAAAGCCAACTTACTAGTTAGCCACCGTATCCTATAAATTGTTAATGTAATTTAGGTAAATAATATGTTTTGCTTTGGTTTTTTTTTAAACATATTGGCACCTGCTATAGCAGTTGGCA